GAACCCTAAAGAGAGAAATAGAAGAAGATCTTAGAAGATGGAAAAATATACCCTGTTCATGGATAGGCAGAACTAACATCATCAAAATGGCGATATTACCAAAAGTTCTCTATAGGTTTAATGCAATGCCAATCAAAATCCCAACGGCATTTCTTGTAGAAATAGAGAAAGCAATCATGAAATTCATATGGAAAAATAAAAGACCCAGAATAGCAAAAACAATGCTAAGCAGGAAGTGTGAATCAGGCGGTATAGCGATACCAGACTTCAAACTATATTACAGAGCAATAGTAACAAAAACAGCATGGTACTGGTACCAAAACAGGCGGGTGGACCAATGTTACAGAATAGAGGACACAGAAACCAATCCACAAAACTACAACTATCTTATATTTGATAAAGGGTCTAAAAGCATGCAATGGAGGAAGGATAGCATCTTCAACAAATGGTGCTGGGAAAACTGGAAATCCATATGCAACAAAATGAAACTGAATCCCTTTCTCTCGCCATGCACAAAAGTTAATTCAAAATGGATCAAGGAGCTTGATATCAAATCAGAGACGCGCCGTCTGATAGAAGAAAAAGTTGGCTACGATCTACAGTCGGTGGGGTCGGGCTCCAAATTCCTCAATAGGACACCCATAGCACAAAAGTTAATAACTAGAATCAACAAATGGGACTTACTCAAACTAAAAAGTTTTTTCTCAGCAAAAGATACAATAAGAGAGGTAAATAGAGAGCCTACATCCTGGGAACAAATCTTTACTCCTCACACTTCAGATAGAGCCCTAATATCCAGGGTATACAAAGAGCTCAAAAAATTAGACAATAAGAGAACAAACAACCCAATCAACAAATGGGCCAAGGACCTGAACAGACACTTCTCAGAGGAGGACATACAGTCAATCAACAAGTACATGAAAAAATGCTCACCATCTCTAGCAGTCAGAGAAATGCAAATCAAAACCACCCTAAGATACCATCTCACTCCAGTTAGATTGGCAGCCATTATGAAGTCAAACAACAACAAGTGCTGGCGAGGATGTGGGGAAAAGGGTACACTTGTACATTGCTGGTGGGACTGCAAATTGGTGCAGCCAATTTGGAAAGCAGTATGGAGATTTCTTGGAAAGCTGGGAATGGAGCCACCATTTGACCCAGCTATTCCCCTTCTCGGTCTATTCCCTAAAGACCTAAAAAGAGCATGCTACAGGGACACTGCTACATCGATGTTCATAGCAGCACAATTCACAATAGCAAGACTGTGGAACCAACCTAGATGCCCTTCAATAGATGAATGGATAAAAAAAATGTGGCATTTATACACAATGGAGTATTACTCTGCATTAAAAAATGACAAAATCATAGAATTTACAGGGAAATGGATGGCATTAGAGCAGATTATGCTAAGTGAAGCTAGCCAATCCCTAAAAAACAAATGCCAAATGTCTTCTTTGATATAAGGAGAGTAACTAAGAACAGAGTAGGGTCAAAGAGCATGAGAAGAAGATTAACATTAAACAGGGATGAGAGGTGGAAGGGAAAGGGAGAGAGAAGGGAAAATGCATGGAAATGGAAGGAGACCCTCAGAGTTATACAAAAGTACATACAAGAGGAAGTGAGGGGAAGGGGAAAAATAATACAAGGGGGACAAACGAATGTCAGTAAAGGGGGCAGAGAGAGAAGAGGGGAGGGGAGGGGAGGGGAGGGGAGGGGAGGGGGGATAGTAGAGGATAGGAAAGACAGCAGAATACAACAGACACTAGTATGGCAATATGTAAATCAATGGATGTGTAACTGATGTGATTCTGCAATCTGTATATGGGGTAAAAATGGGAGCTCATAACCCACTTGAATCAAATTGTGAAATATGATATATCAAGAACTATGTAATGTTTTGAACAGCCAACAATAAAAAATTAAAAAAAAAAAAAAGTAGGATTTATTTTTTTAACAAAGAATACTTCTAATACACAATCCATTTTGACTATTACTATTTTGGTATTTTTCTGAAATAAAAAAATGAGACTCTTACCCCAAAGGCTGGGAATTTTGGTAGGTTGGGAAGTCACAGAGATATTGTTTATAGCATCAAGCTGCTTTCTATAATCATCCACCTGGAAATCATTCACTGGAAAAAGTACAGCCCAATATGAGAATATTGTAATATTTTTGTATTTGTACACATAAAGCAAAGCACAATTTTACTCACACTGTTATGTTAAATTAACAAATACTGAATAGGGAATGTAACATAAGGTAATGTTTCCATGTTCTTAGTTAAAAAAAAAAAGTATAACAGTTAATGTGTAAGTCATCTCCTTAATAATCAGTAGATAAAACTTATTGATTTAAGGTGGCTGTTTCAAATTTACTATTTGCTTCTAAATTCTGATAATAATAAAGCATTTCACTAGGCCTACAATTATGCCAAAATTATACTATACTATTCTGTGTAAGGAAAATTAAATAATGTCATAAAGATAATATGAGATCAATGGAAACAATTTAAATGTCTTAATTCTCTATGCTTTGTTTAAAAAACAAAATCAATAATGAACTTCTTTCAGATCTAATCATTACAAGACTCTCTTCATTTACATGGCTAAAACAAACCCTAGATAAATCTGAATGTCTTCTATGATGCCTTATTTTTAAAGGGTGCCTATGGATGGTTTAAAATGAGATGGAAATGAACTTACAAACATCCTCACAGGTGTTCCTGCATTCTTCCAAGGATTCAAAGTTGTTTGGATTGCCCAGGCACCCACCGTACTTGAAACGCTCACATTGCTTTGACTGATTGCTATAAAAATACCTGGTAATATAACCTCTACAGATTCCAGCATCTTCCTCCAAAAAGCAGAAGTCTGGCTTTTCTAGAAATTATAAAAAAATATCAGAAAGTAGTATTTTTTGGTAAATAATTTAGTTATATCCACTAAATTTATTAATAACTAACTGGTATTTAAAGAGTAAACTTGAAGAATAATAAGTACAAATCTGACTTTTCTGGAAACATTATATAATGTGCAAATTATTCAACATATCTATTGTGGTATTTAGAATAATCATTACACAACCATGTCACACACAGTTTTTAAATTAGCTTTTCAATCTCTACATTTCTCACAATAAATCAATAGAGAATTAACTAGTTTTTTTTCATGAATTCAGTGAATAAACTATGTGGGGTTATTTTATCATGTGCTGTCCTTGTTTTGGAATTACAAATTAGGATGGTAAATTTTGGTTTAATTATTTATATTTAACTTTGTGCATCAATATTTAGGAAAGATCTATGAATCTTTCATATTATTGAGGTGTAGGGTATCATTAGGGAATGCAGTACCATGTATTGCTTCATTAAGAATGGCTTAAATTTTAAAATTTGGAAAAGAAGATTTGAAGGGTACGGAAGCTTTCATGGTTATTCTTAGAAGTTCCTGAATTCTTAGGCTGAAATTGATATCTGTGGTAGGTATGACATCCTCCATTGCTGCAACTTTTCTTTTCTTCAAGCACTGGAATGATTCCAACAGTGCAGAGGCAGAAAGGAAATACATGTTCAGGGATTGAAGAGGCTTTTGCAAAATCTAATACCACTTCTTTGATAGTGTTCCAACCAGGCTAAACACAGCTGTCACAAAAGTTGTGATACAATGATCTACATTGCAAGCTCTTTGTACGTGCATACTCTGTAAAGAGAATCTAGCTGATTCTCAAATGTATTATAATCACCAAGCTCATTGGGCTTGAATATTTTGGACAAAGCTCCAGTTTCTCCACTTTTTCTTGTAACTCCAGTATTATAGTGGCTAAATGTTGCTTTTATTTCTTACAGTAACTTGTTCTTCTAGCTCAGGGAACCAATGCCCACCAGTATTATAGTATGAAAAAAGTAATTATTTTGTAATGTAAATGATATCTACAGCAGTTGCAGATCTGGAGAAGCAGCAATCCCCTATTAAAAAGTTGTTCTTTTAACATAAAATTTCCTATTTTAGTATAACTTAAAGCTATCATCTATGAATTCTAAATGTACCAATTTGAAGTCAATTTATGTTTATCACCTCTTTTTTTAAGAGTGAATCTTAGTATGATTTCCCTATTTTCTCCTGTTTTTCACAAGTATTTCTTTAAATGGACAGTTAAATTTGCATGTACTTAATACGTGCAACATGATGCCTTAAAGCATATATACATGCTGAAAATTAACATGCATGATTTCCCATGGTTATCATTTCTGTACTAAGAACACTTAATACCCATTTTACTAGCATTCCTGGAGATTATAATATGTGGTCACTAACCATAGCCACCATGCTGCATGATAGGTCTTTTCAAAGTTTTCTCCTATCCAACTGTAATTATGTGTTTTTTGACTAACATCTTCCCAATAACTCTTCCCCAATCACCTTGACCTCTACTGGTAACCACGACTGTACTCTGTTTTTAGGTCAGCATTTTAAAGTACCATATATGAGTGAGAAAACATAGTGTTTGTTTCTCTGTGTCTGGCTTATTTAATTGATATTCTTCAAGCCCATCTATGTTGTGGCAAATGACAGGATTTTATTCTTTTCTATGATTGAATAATATTGCATTTTTTAGAACATACCATGTTTTCTTTGTCTGTTTATCTGTGTATGACCATTTAGGTTCATTCTGTATCTTGGCTTGTTGTGAATAGTGCATCAGTGAGCACGGGGGTGTAGCCATCTATTCAACATATACATTTCATTTACCTTTATGTATGCCCAATAGTGGGACTTCTGAATTATGTGTTATTTTTATCTTTAATTTTAAACTTTTGAGGACTCTCCATGATGTTTGCCATAGTACCATACAAATTCACATTCCCGATAACAGTGTTATCTTTGTCTTTTTGATAATATCCTTTCTCATAGGAGCAAGGTAAAAACTCACTGTGGTTTGATTCGCATTTCCTTCATTATGCCTGCTGTTGATCTTTTTTTTTTTCCACATAATATACCTGTTTTTTGAAGTGAATGATATTATGACTTACAGTTAAGTGAAATATATGGGGGAAGGAAATACAAACAATTCTTTAATTTTTAAAAAAAATATTTAGTTTTTAGTTGTATTTGGACACAATACCTTTATTTATTTATTTTTATATGTGGTGCTGAGGATCGAACCCAGAGCCTCGCATGTGCCAGGCGAGTGCTCTACCACTAAGCCACAATTCTTTTAATTTTTATAGTACTTTTTTATAAGGGAAAGGAAAGAGTACATTCAACTACTATTATTTTGATTTGTTTTAATCGGTATGTACTTATAAAATTTTATATAGCCTTAACAAGGATATAAAAGTTTTATGTTTAAGAGAAGTGCATAAAATATTGATTATAAAGAACAAAATATTAAATATAATTTATGCTGATATACAATTCACAAATTCTGCATCTGAAAGTTCTTATTGTTCATATGTGGCCCAATTGGAAGACATGAATTTATTTTAGTGCACAGTTGAAAATGCACACATGTAAAATGATTCTTCTTAGGCCTACAAATTAAAATATGATTATAAAGCAAGAAATTAGTTTCCCATGTCCGTAGATAAAAGAAGTACCATTCTTTCAAATTTGCATATACTTGTTTGCTATAACTTGAACTTAAAATTGTGTGTCACAGAAAGTACATTCCAAGCTATATACAAATTTTCATAAGCATAGAATTTCTAATGTGAACTTTTGTTTGGGCCTGCATATTTGGAAATTGCTTTCTAACAAACTTTTTCCAAGGCACTGAATGAATGTCTACTGTCTTTGCAACTATTTCAATGTTACGGAATCTTCAATTTCAAGTTGATTGAGGTCTTCCTTATATATTTGTTTTAGCATTTAATCATTTTTAATGTTCATGTAAATAGAGTTTTATTATCTAGTTTCCATGCTTCTTATTAATCAAGAATAATTAGCTTCTGAATTATTAAAGACATTATATAGAAAATTTTATACTAAAAAATTTACCTGCATATACTTTTTCTAATTTTGTTTTTGGGAAAAGTCAATGTTTCAATGTTGGTATTTCTTTTCATGAAAATAAACCAGGCACAGAAAAATAAGCACAACATGATCTCACTCATACTATGGAATACTAAAAAGTTGATATCATAGAAGTTGGAAACTATTTCGTAAATAAAACTCCCTTTCTAAATATACTGTGTTCTTTGAAATTACAGACAGTTAAAACTTCATTTACTTGAAGTGATGGTCATTACTTCCCTACAAGTAGCAATTTTTAGAAATTATAAATAAATGCATATTCATGTTGCCTATAAAATTTTGCCATTGAATTTATACAGTTGGATTCAAATTTTGGTCAGTGAGTTATGTCTAAAGAATATCAATAAGTTATAAATTTTCAATTCTTTCCTCCACAATTAAATAAAAAAATGAACTTTAAATTTTGTATTTTTTCACATTCTGAGTTAATAACTTCTTCTCATTGTTTAAATGTAAAAAGCCATAAATAGTAACTGGAATAAATCAGTTTCTAAACCTTTATGAAGAGGGAATTGCTTTTTTTCCATCTGTTTATAATGTTGTTTCTTCTCCTGCTATGATATATTCACTAAAAATACTCAGTTCTTATAAATAATCATAAATAAATATTTAAAAAAAAACACAAAATCAAAGATGTTCATGCACAGAAAATAATGCTGACAAAGGTAATTATTAGTTGCTACATAGCACCACTGTTTTTTGCATATAAACCTATTAACAACTCAGAGACAAGCATCCATTCAGGTAGAGATTGAATGAAATTTGCTAAAGTCACACAATGCTGAGATTCACATGGAATAGGAGAGTAAATACCTAAACTGGAAAGGCAATTTACTGGAGAAGCAATACTTAAACTCATTATTGGAAGATGTTAAAATAGCATGTGTGGCTCTGGATTCTGAGTAATCTAACTCTAAATACCATGATGCTTTAGAATAAGAACAAATACAATGTTTGGAACCTCTTCCACCAAATATCATGTAAATTATTTCTTATTTTTCATCAGATCCATGGAAACAGAACACCATTTCAAACATCATATAAATGTATGATCAACCTTGTATCAGAGAAACCTAAGAACTGAATATCTAAATGCCTTTTGCACAAATTCTATTAACATGTATGTAAATGAATGTTCACCTTTTTTAAATGTCTTCTTTGAAATCTTCTTTGGATAACCTGCAATAAAAACAATACATGTGTATCAATTGCAAGAGTTTATAATGTAATATTGTGACTTTGAATTTAACAAACTAGGATAATATATTCATTACCACTTACGTTATCCTTGTACAGAATACCTTAAGAATTAAAATTCTTTTCATTTCCTTCAAAGATTATTTTTACAATTATTGTAACCACAAATCCACCACATTTAAGAAATATACTTTAACAAATAAATAAAGACATAAAATTATACATAGTAATGGGTTTCCATGTGCTGTTTAGATACATGCATATGAGGTTTGAAGGAAGTTAAACATATCTTCTAAAAAAAATCATATCTTTAGAATGAAAACTTTAAATTTTTTTTCTTCTAGTTTTGTGAAACATATAGCACTTAGTGTCATCTATTGTCACCCTAGTGTGCAATAGCATATTAGAACTGCTTGCTCCTATTTAACTGTAACTTAAGACCCACTGATCAACCTCTCCCAGGATACCCTCCTCTACTTTGCTAGTGTCCCCTGCCTCTGGCAACACCTTTCTACTCTGAACTTCTATGATATCAACTTCTTAGTATTGCATATGTGAGAGATCATGTGGTGCTTGTCTTTCTGTGTCTGTCTTATTTCACTTAACACAGTGATCTCCAGTTCCATCCATGTTGCTGAAAATGACAAGGATTTCATCTTTTTTGTTTTTGTGTTTTGGAGGGGGTGGGGGAGTGGGTCACATGTGCTTCATTTTAACAGTTTCTTTCATTGTCCACTGATATTTTCTTCTGTGGACTTAAACTTTCTTACTTTATATATTATATTTTTCAGGTTTAGAATTTCCATTTAGTTTTTTTTTTATATTTTTCAGTTTTTCCCATATTATGTTCATGCTTTCTTCAAATTCTATAACGTATTTGTAATAGCTATTTGAATATTCTTAGCTGCTACCTTTGTCACCTTTATTGTTTCTACCTATTTCATCGAGTCATTATTTTCTCCTAGTTATGGATCACAATTTGCATGTTTTGTTAAACATTTAACATTATTTGCAAGGACAGATGATAATTTTTTTAAACTATCATACTACTGATGAATGGATTTTATTGTCTTCATTTAAAGAATGTTGAAGTTTCTTTTGGTGGTTAGTTAAGTCACTTGAGGATCAGCTGGATGCCTCAGGTTTGTCTTGAAGATTTGCTGGGGCAAATCCAAAGTACTCTTCATTCTAGGTAGAATTTAGTTCTATTACAAAATTAAATTCTATATAGTTTTCAGTTATGGGGGGCTTCTGGAATTGTTCTATTAATATATCTATGATAATTATTTCCTCAAACTCATCAGATTTTTATTAAATAAGTGCAGAATTTTATTAAGAGACAAACTCAGAGGGAATTCTATCCAGATTTCTGAGTTTTATTTTCCCTCTGTGCAAATTCATTGTCTTCCATATATTGTTACTAAAGCTACATCTTCCCCAGCCTCCTAATCCCCAGTCTCCATCTTCTTCAGTCAAAGTATCTACAGTGCTGCTTTTGGGTTCCCTCCCCTTAACAGTGGTCTAGAATGATTTCATGCAGAAAGCAGGGCAGTCTGTGAGGCTCATCTCATGTATTTCCTTTCTCTCAGTGATTATAATCCTGTACTACCTTTTGATTAATGTTTAGAAACAGTTGCCTTGTATATTTTATGCAGTTTTTTTAAAGTTCTTTATGTTGGAAATGAATACCCAGCTCTACTTAATCCATCAAGGCTCAAGATAGAACTCTTTCCTTAGGTGTTTTTTTTTTAAGTCTAGCAGCATTTTTTCTATACACCAGCTATATCCCAAATATTATCCTACTGTATAAAAAACACAGGGGTTCATACAACAATATTAAGTGGATTCTGAAGAGATAATGAATGAATGATGACAAGAGATTTACATTTATTTGTGTGCTTGTCCATTATGATGTTTTAAAAGATTAGAAGATGGGATGTTACTAATGACAAATGATTATATTTGATAATTTGTAAGTAAAAAATCTTCTGCACAATGTTGAATAATAAGACTTCTGAATTAGAAAAAAAAAGGAAAAAGATGTGAGTGTCAGATAAAAGATCGGTTGATGAAAATAAATAGGCTCCAAGATAAAAAAGAATTAAAAAGAAATGGTCCAACCAGGCCTCTAACCAAGGTATCTGATGACCAAGAATGATTTTCAAATCAACACAGGATACTTGGCCCCAGCACTTACAAGAGAAAACAGTGTATAGAAATCTGTTATAGCTGAAAAAGGACCTAGCAATCACAAATCCCAATGGTACCACTGAGGACCACTGAGCTGCCTGATCTGTGCTAGTGACATTCCTATGGCGTCTATGGTGAGAGAATGTACAGCTGCTGCTTTGCACAAAACAAGGTATCTAGTGTTACTAACTGAAGATGCTGCCTCTCTCTATATATAGCATAACTGTTCTGGCAAATACGAAGAACATGCCATGGGGGAGCATTGTGGTAGAAGCTGGGGAAATAAAACACTCTGATTCTTCTGTATTTCAATTATCTTGCTATTCTGAATAATAAACTGAGATGAAAACATTCCAACTGTTTTTTTTTTTTTCCTATTAACCAGTATTTTCTAGTTAGTACCTTGATAGTCTTAAACTGAATTTTCAGGTTCATTGTCAAAAGAGAAAACAGCTGTAAGATCATTGTGTACAACTAAGTCAGTATATATATATATATATATATATATATATATATATATATAAAATTCTTTGATAAAGTTAAAATAATATTCCATTAGTTTTTTCTGAGATTATCAACTCTATGATTAGACTCAATAGCCACCAAGATTCTTGGGTCAGAAACCTACCAACTGCACATTTTTCTTTGCACTCTTCCAGACTTTCAAATCGATTCTGATTTCCTTCACAGCCCCCGTATACAAATTCTTCACATTGCTGAGTGAGAATATTGAAAAAAAATCTCTTCATCATCGCTTTGCATGGCCCATCATCCGCCTTCAATGCACAAAATGAATGCATCAATTTCAGTGGTGGCAACACAGTACCTAGAAGGTAAAAATGGAAAAATAAATAAATAAATAAATAAAACATGCAATGTAAAAAAAACATGTACTCCTCCACCAAAGCCATAATAATATTCTCTCTTTTCTTTTCATTTCTTTTTTTAATATGTTCCTATTTTAGAGAAAGTATGACAACAATAAAGCAGGCTCATTGGAAAAACATGACAAGTTATTTAGTTATCCAAAAGGTAAAGTTAATAAATAAGCCCACTAAATGAGATTCACCTTATCAATTGTTAAAGTTTATTTTTCATCAACTATTAAAGAAAATATAGTATATCTTTTCTAGACTCTTGATAATTATAATTAGTTAAATATTTACCAGTTGATAGACATGGAATTCAACAGTGACAATAAGGCAACTTAACTAAGAGAATGTGTTCACTCACTGGAATAGAGACCTCTGCTTTTGACTCAGGTTTTAGAGACAAATGCTAATGGGCAATTTTTTGAGTTTCTCTTCCTAATCCATACGTGTGTCACTTTTTACACATGAAACATCTTAATAAAAATGTTTAGTAATGTTGCAAAAGTTCAAACAAATCTTTCTGTTTTAAATGAAATGAAGAAATTTCTTGACCTTGAATTATAATTTTGATTCCTAAATATTTACTTATATTAGTCACAGAAAAAATTCCTATTATGGGAAGGATATTCACAAAAAAGAAAACAATGAAAGTTTTAAAATTAGATTTTTTTTATCAAGTTCAGTAATATTAATAAACACCTAGTTCTGTTTACAGAATTTTCCAGTGAGATAGCTTTAAAATTATAGTTGGTTGGGGATGGGTTGGGGATCTGGTGGTCAAATCATAAAAATTTTAGTTAGTCAGGAGGAGTGAATTCAGGAGCTCAATTGAACAGCGTGGTCATTCTAGCTAATAATGTAGTTTCTTATTGAAAAATGCTGAAAGTGGATGTAAAGTGTTCTCACCACAAAAAAAAATTGGTAACTATGTGAGGTAAGGCATGGGTTAATGAGCTAGATTTAATCCTTACATACTGCACATATAATGAGCTAGATTTAATCCTTCCACATTGCACATATACTTTAAACGTTATGTTTTTCAAGAATTTTTGTAGTTGTAGATAGACAGCATGGCTTTACTTTTATTTGTTTATTTTTATGTGGTGCTGAGGATTGAACCCAGTGCCTCACACGTGAAAGGCAAGTGCTCTGCCACTGAACTACAGCCCCAACCCTGAAACATCATGTTATACACAGAAAATACATATCATCTCATTTATCATTTTTAAAAACTGAAAAGAAATTAAAAAACAAATAAATAAAACTGTGATTGGTGCAACCGAATAATGACCAAAGAATGCTATAGAGTACTTTTCAGATATTGTCTATGTATTGAGTGTATGTACACACACACACACACACACACACAATTTCTATCAAAATTTTGTATTGTTGTGCTGTTTGATATATGTGACAATGATTATTCATGGACATGTAAATTTTCTCTCAACTACCAATACAACCTTGAAAACTTTTGATCACTATTTTGATCTATTTGATAACTGAATTGGCATTTTGTCTTCATATAAAATAAATTGAACAGGAATGATAGAATAATAAATTTTTCAGACACCAAATTTGATAAGATAGAACTAATATATGACAGAGGATTGTTATGACAGAGAAAAACTTTCAGCACCAAACACGATTGTTGTGGACTCCCTTATTAATAAGCTATAATATTGTTCAAACCTTTAACTAAATTTGATTTCTGTGTATTTGAGCATTTGCATTTCAGCTTTTCTGGGTTTCTGTTCAATTGGCCGAAAGAGTTTTGTGTTTGTGCTTTTTTTTTTTTTTTTTTTTTTTGCTACTACAGGGGTGCTTAACCACTGAGTCGCAAATAGCCATTTTTACATTTATTATTATCATTTTTTAAATTTTGAGACAGTCTTGCTTCAGCCTCTTTCTTCAGCCTCTCAAGTCACAGATCACAGTAATAAGTCACCATACTCAGTGGCCAATATAGTTTTTGATTTTTTTTTACTTATAGCATGGTGTCATCAAATTTAATCAATACACATAGTATTTGCAAATAATTCCATCATAATGAATTAACCATTCATTAATGTATACAAGTTTTAATTTCATTTGCTTTTTTCTATTTCTTTATCTAATATTTTATGCTGATAAACTTGTCTGATAAATCAATATTGTCTCCCAAAGGTTTCTATGGCATATTAAGAGTTTCTGAGCAGGCAGGAAACTGAGGCAGGAGGATTGCAAGTTCAAGGCCAGCCTTGGCAACTTAAGAAGACCTTGCCTCAAAATAAAGAATAGAAGAAGCTAGGTATATATCTCACTGATAAAGCAACCCTGGGTTCAATCCCTAGTAACACACACACACACACACACACACACACTTTCTGATACCTAATGCTGTGCACTAAAATTCATACTTCTCATTTTCTTTAAATACTTTGCCTATGATATACACAGGTAAACACATAATACCCACATTTCCAAATATATTCAGGAAAAACATTCTTATTACTCAAAGATTTAAATGAGATTCATTTGCATTAATAGTTACACTGCTTTCTCTCAATATTGTTGATAGTCTTTATCATCCAGCTAAATCTTTTATAGCTCTCATCTGGAATCACCTGCCCCAGATTCAGCCTGCTATTCAATAACTTCACCACAAGAGTGTGTCAGCGTACCACAAAGTAAAAGATTGCAAACCAAAGTGTCCTTATGTAGTTATTGTAACAACAATAGCTAGTATTACTGAGTAATTACTCAGCACAAAGAGGTACACACAAAAAGATATTCTAATACAAAGATTTTTAAATAATTATATCATTTGATGATCCCACGTTTCTGAGATTGACATTATCTTCATTTTACAAATTATAAAATAACATTACATAAATTAAGCATATTTCTCAAAGTCACACTATAAGTGATGGATGTAGCATTAACTCCCAAGCAGTTTTACAGCAGATATCTCACTCATTCTTAATATCTGTGTGATATTGTCACATACCTCTATGACTGATTTATGGCATAGATTTAATTATAGATTTTTTGCTCAATAATTTACACTTTTCTTAAATTTATAAAAATAAAAATAGTTTCAATAATGAAAGGTAATAACTCCATAGCAAATGGCTAAAGAAACACTATCAACTTTAATTGACTGTATTTTATTAATATCATTCCTCTTATTATTCCTCACTGCCATGCACAGTTTAAGGCATTTCTTACAGAAGTTTTGTATTAGAATACCTTTTCATGCATTGACCTTGTGACCTATACTTAAGCACAGCATCCCTAAAATGGAGGAGTATTTCTGTGTGTTGTCTGACACACAGTGCTTCACCACTCCACTTGAAAGAGATGGCAGTCTTCCCTGTTTTCCATTGCTTACTCAGATAAATCTTTTGAATGTTAATAATCCTTTGCTGATCATGTATCTGTTAGGCATTGTGGCATCTCAGCAAGTGAACAGTAGATTGGATAGCAGCAACCCCTCTCATGGAGTATGTAAACCTTGTAGACTTACATAAATATTTGGGAGATTCAGAGTGCTTTGCAAGTCTGTAACTGGATACCTACCTGAGGGAATTAAGGCTAGCTTTCCTGAGAGTTGAAATTGAGACCTGAAGAAAATGTCTATCAGTCGGGATTATCTGCTTCTGATCAGAAGGGGCAATATCATAGTAATTGAATCCGGGGTAGCCACACAAATAAAATTATGGTTTGCATTCAACCATTTTTGTAGTTGATTCCAGGTATTTTGTGTTCCACAGTTGAGAATGTGTCCTGGGATGTTGGATCAAAGGCTCAGTAAACTATTTGGTGCCTGAGGAAATGTCATGTACTGTCTGTTAGAACTCTCATCCTTGGGTCACTCCTCTGGGAATCTAGAGCTCTCAGGTAACAGAGGCCACCTGCCATTTGGCTCTCTGACTAAAGAATTCAACTTCTATGAAAAGGAACAATACAGATAGGTTCTCTTTGCCAGGAAAGTGTGCCAGATGCCTTTATGCTGTTTCCAACCATGTGGAAGTAAGTTATGACAACACTTATTTACAATTTGGAACACTGGAATTCAGAGGGTTTAAATAACTTTTAATTTCACAAAGGTATGAATGGAAAACCACCTCTGTGAGCACAGGCCTGCTCAGTTCTGATTCTGCTGAAACATATCTGCCTTTCTCTAAATGTGTTCTGCTAATCTTGTGTCTCCTAGTCCAAAGGCTTAAAAAAATCAGTACTTTTATTTATTATGGTGTTTTCTTATCAAGAAGTTTATTCTACATCCTCATACCTGCTGTTTGGGCTGATTTTTTTTAAGTCTACAGTTGACTGTGAGAGAGGTAGAAAAATTCTGTATATTTTTCTGTAATTGATAGTACCTTATTTCAATGAAACAATATATTTCTATAAAGTGATGGTATGATCTTGGCATCATGTGACAAGTTGTATCTCCAAATTTGAACTCATTCAGATGTGGTATCATGGTGTTGCAAGATCAATGAAAAATAAAACAGAAAAAAAAACAAACAAAAAACAAAACTAAGACTATGTAACAAGTAAGCCAGGAGGTCTTCAAGTCTATGCTATAATCAAAATCATTTCCTTTCCATCTAGGTCAGCAAGCTACCTTATAGTGACTTTAAGATTTGACTTAATTATTGACGGGCTAATTCTAGTTTCCTGGATGACTGTGGCATCAGAAACAATTTCCTGCCTGACTGTGGCAGTTCCTACATAACTGGCATAAATTTTCTCAGTCCTTCGAGGGAGACTGGACAGAGAGAACACTGGGACCCATTCTCTTTGTACCTCCCAAGATGAGCTTGCCTGTCTTTATCTTGTTGGGATATTGTCCTCAACATCCCTTGTCCCCCTAACTTTCAGCATGTCATTACTTATCTCATTCCCATTTGAGAAAAGAGTTAAATAAAGGACTAAAAATCATCTCATAAGGTCCACATTCCTATTGTCCAAAGAACAGAATGGTTTTTATTTTCTTGGATCTCTAGGAAATTTTTATAACTCTGTATTTCCAAGCCAAGTTCTCAGATCACCAAGTTTGGATGAGTTGCTTTCTCTTTGTATCAAGAGCAGCAGCTTCTGCATGCTCTTTCGCTCTGTGCACTATGTTATACTGAAATGGCCTGTCTACCCTCCAGGCTCCCCTCTGAAACTGTGAGATTCTTAAGTATCTGGCTTCAATCATTACTGTTTGCTTTGAACCAACCCATTTCAGGCACACACACACACACACACACACACACACAATGTATTCATACATCTTTGTTAAAAGGGAATACACTGAAAATCATCAACTTAAAGTGGTTAGAGATGTGAAATTGAAATATGTATTTATGGAAATGTCTATCACAAACTACCAAATAAATGATAGAGGCTATCACAATGTTAATATTCTCTATTACCAATAGTTTGAGATGTCTGTCAATGATTTACTAATTTGCTACAAAATATAACTTTTTACATAAAGTATAAATCTAGATAACAAATGCTATGCAGCCTTTTCCTTGTTCTATTTTTCATTATAAGTATGTTCATTTTTATACTCAGAGATTTTTGGGATTGGAACTAACTTCCATTACAAGATCCTGTGGAACTCTGCCTGACTAGATTCTTACATTAGCTTCATTTCTGAAATTCTCTTTTTGGAAATATGGGCAATAAGGAGAGAATGGCTGAAATCTCCAGTATCTGTAGTTTCCTTTTCCATCCCACACTACTTTCTCCCAGCTAAACGGTGGCATCGTGTTTCTTCAGCACTTTGCTCCCTGCAATATTTCAGAGAGACTTCAGTGTTTAATATTATAGCCCAAAGACTTTCTTGCTTTGGTAATTTGATTTAGGACTGAGTTTAAAAAATAATCATAAAACATATACGAGGTGTCCAAAGGGAAATAAGACTTAAAAAAAAATTCCCTACATGAAGGGAAAAAAAAAAAAACTTGAGAAGTTTGACCAACTAAACAAGATAAATGTTTGTAACATTTTACCTGTGATATTTGTATGTTCTTCATCTTCCTCAGGAACAGCATTAAGAGGCATAGGGGCAAGACTAAGCAGCAGACATACAGAAGCCCAAAACACGTGTTCTTTCTTCATTGCATAAATCATCTCTGAAATACAAAAATCAAACATACCTAGTAAATACAGAGCTGATGTGAGCCCATCTCTAACCTTGCTCTAATGCAAATTTCTGTAACTTTAAATACATACACGTATACATCTCTACGACTCATGTATGCCATGAATCATATTTAAAATGTGTAGGATACATTTAAATTTACTGAAAAAAAAACATTATTAGTAAATAAAGTTAATAATATTCAAGTATACAGGTCACATTTCAACATTGAAAATACAATTTCAAGGGGCAATGACTAAGAGCCATAGGTAACTGCTAATCTGTACAGCTGTGTGTATTAAGATCCATTTCATGTGAAATCATACTTTCCATAGTTCTTACAGCTATTCTTATTTTTCTTGAATTTTTCTGTTATGTTCTTAATGCAATTTTCAGTTGATAGTTCTTTCTCCCTTTGCTCTGATCCCTCTTTTAAAGAGGAAACACATTTTCAGAAATTCCAACTTTGTTTCCTTTGCGACATATTTGTTTATAACTCATTTCCTAACCAGGTTTTCTATGAGCTGCCAGACAGACAGAACTGTAGACCCCCCAAAACGATTAACATTTCAGCCAGTCCCCTTTGCCTGTTCATCCTCCCCAATTTAGACTGATCTGTTTTAAGAGTCTCACAGAAAAGTGACTATAAGTAGTGAGCTAACCTTCTTACCCTTAAACGGAAACAGATTTCAGCAGGAGAGTGAGGCTTTTCCTGTTCCAGAATGATTTAAAGGTCCAGAGCAAAATAATAATGGGAAAATACAAGCAGCTCTTAAAAACAAAATGAATTCTCCTTTGAAACTAAAGGTGAAAGGAAATGTGTACTGTTCATGCAGCAGAAAAAGAGGAAAGAGGTAACACGTGCACATGTTCAGCCACTGATGCCTGCAGAGTCAGGAAGGAAAGCAGTAAACACAAGGACAGGGTCAGATATTCCACCCAAGCCAATTTAGAGACTTCTCTGGGTTTGTCGTAGTCACAGACACAGTATGCACCATTATGTGAAGGAAAGGTATACCATTGAATTTAAGCAGTCTTAAATAAAAGAGTAATAAATTCAATTTTACTTTAAGCTTCCTTAAACAATCACTGTGAAATGTATTATTTATTTTCTCATGACACATGGGAAAGTTTAGCATATATCTGATGTTTAGTCAGTGGCAGGATTATATATCTTGTCATAGCACATTAAGTGAATTCACAAAATATGTATGCTTGCATACATATACACACACATATATAATATATGCACATGTGATTGTGAAGGCTCTTTCTACTAAACTGCTCGGTATCATCTTATTTTTTATCATCTTATCTTTGAAGACATTTTTCAGTTTTTCTATTTCCATTTGATTCTATGATATGCAATCCTGCTATACCTTGAGTGTAACATGAAGCTTTTTTTTTTTTTTTTTTCCATTACATGGCTCGAATTAGGTAGAGGTTGAGTGCTTGGTGAAGAATTCAAGAATTAGGACTCCAAATCTATGAAGTTAGTATCTCTAAAAAAGGAAGCCTAACGTCTTCACCAAGTTTAGTCATTAAGTTTTTGGTTTCAAAGATCCAAAGTAAACTTGGACAAATTTAAGTCAAAGGTAATTAGACTTTGTTCTAGAAAATGGGACCCATCTGGGACTAGAGGGTAGGTATATGTTGCATGACAGAAACAACCAGACTTAAGACACTACTGCTATCTCCTCTTGCTGCTAAACGATTTGCAAGGTTTTATTCTCCCACTGCAGCACAACTTTTTCTACAAAGTTGGAAATGTGGTCATTTACCATTTTTGAAATTTTAAACCACAAAGTTTCATCCATCCAAATAGTGTGAATACTCTTTATATCCACTAGGGTCAAACAATTCATAGTTTCAATTTGTAAAAAGTGCCACACTTTACCCTAATACATTTGAAGTGAAGCACTCGGGAGAACTTCATGGATTTAATGGGCCCTAAATAAAATTTAGTGGACCCTTAACCAGTCAGGAATATGGAACAAGAAAATGTAATACCTTGGCAAGTGTGTATGGAATTATGTTTTAGGGGTGGAGTGAATGAGCATAGTTCCCTGAAGGAGGGGATTGTTGCTTCCAGAAGGAAGAGTGTCAACAGGCAAAGCACTGTCTATATACTACAGCACACTATAGCTAAAATAATTGTGAGGACGATAATATAAACAATTTTGTTGAGCACAGGATCTATTGACAAAGAGTTTTAAAAATGGAGGTTTATGGTTGCAGAGTAAATATTTTGAGGATATGTCTTTACATGTAAAGAAATAATTTATCTAAAATTCAATTGAAAATGAGTTTTTTTCCTTTTAATAGACTTTTTAAAAAAAAAACATTTACAGAAAATTGGACAAAGTTGGGTGGGAAGCTGGAAGATAGGCATTTGCTTTTTTATAACATTGGATCCAGGTGAGACAAGCTAGGAAAGGTATGTGAAATGCTTTTAACTAATAAACAGTACAACAGTTTCCTAGGTCTATCTGTCTAGTAGAGTTGATGTATAATAATACTAGATTTCAGTCTAAATCATTTCTAAGTGGGTTTCTGTTGGGCAACCATTTGATTGAAACAAAAGGGGTCTAGATGTCACATTTGGTAAAAAATGTTCTCTCTTCAAAGTCCTTGTATGCTTGTTCTCAATACTTTTGAAGGGGGAATATTAATTGTTTCCACTATCAACTTATGTATTACTATTATTATTTTATAATCACATTTACAAATGTGATCATCTATGCCATTTCTGTTACAGCATACTCATACTAACAGCAGAACTGTTTTATGTTTTTCTTCCACTAGTGTGCCAGCTTCAGTGTTTCTCAATGAATCCTGGACCACTGCCTTTTCTTTCACCACTGATAATTGCTCCACATTTCCCACTAAACTCTAGGCCAATATTCAACTGCCAGTTGGTGTCAGGTCCAGGACGCTATCCAACTCAGCAGTGTTTTTCTATTGACCTCATATCTTTGTTTTATTTTCTTTTGTTCAAATTAATTACCTTGAGCACTGTAGGGCTCTTTAGAGGATGTTCAAAACTCTGAATAAGTCTAAACAAAATGTGGTAGCGCCACATAGTTTCTCCCAGAACCTTTTATTCTTAGCATTTTCTTTGTAGTCACTTCTAATGCACAATGAAATCCAGATGCCTTGGTGAACTAAACGTCTTTTCTTCTACTATAAAGGAGCACACACCTTGGCTGGAGTTTCTACTTGACCAATGGTTTTCTCTAGAGGCAGTTGCTAGGCAAACTCAAATGTGGTTTCCTTCTCAGATTTCACTCCCTTGGACTACAAGGTGGTTGAAGGCCCAGTGAGCTCAAGATCAACCAGTTTCATCTTTCATTCTCCAAGGTATTCCATTACTATTACATTTTCCCAGCATGTTTAAACCCTGCTATGATATATCCCACACCAACATTTCATTTTAAATTCCTGGTATTATCTAACACAGTTTGCCTGCTTTAGATTTACAAAATAATAATAATAATAATAAAAAAAACTTGTAAAGAGAGTACAGAGACTTCATAAACCTGACATCATTATCATCATCATCATAATCATCATCAGCATCCTCATCATCACTTTGGACCGGGGATTAAACCCAGAGGCAAATAAACACTGAGCCATATCTCTAGTCCTTTAAAAAATTTATTTTATTCCCTGACATTCTTAACATCTTTCATTAATATGGTGCATTTGTCACCATTAGCATACCCAATGTTAATCCATTTTATTAATTGAAGTCCTTACTTGAAGCAGGTCTCCTTAGTTTCCACTATTCCTTTTTCTGTTCTAGCATCCCATCCAGAATACCACATTACTTTTAATTGTCATCTCTTCTAAGGAATCGCTGGCTGTGGCAGTTTCTCAGACTTTTCCTTGTTTTAAACGTTCTTGGCAATTCTGAAGAATGCAGAATTGGCATTTTGTAGGATGCGCCTACAAATTTGTCTGATATTTTTCTCATAATGAAACTATGATTGTAAGTTTGGGGGAAGAAGATCATAGAGTTAATATGTTATTTTTATGACATCAAGGGGCAATGTTCCAACATGACTTTTGACTGTTGATACTGACTTTAATCACTTGGTTTGGGCAGTGCTTGTTAGTTTTCTCCAGTGTGAAGATATTTCTGACTCTCTCCTGTCCATATTATTCTCTGGAAAGAAATCACTACATACATCACACTTCAGGAGTAGGGAGTTATGTTCTCTCTCCTTGAGATCAGAGTATGTATTAAAATTGTCTGAGATTCTTCTGGAGCAGGTATTTGTTCTCTTCCACTTGTTAAATTATTAAAAGCTTTATTTTTATCTGTATGAATTAATAGATATTTGCTTTATATTTTATATCATCATCAAATACAATTTATATTCTTTTTCAAGTTGTCCCCCAGCTTTGGCCAATATGAAAGAGCATTGATCTGGCTCCTATACTTATTTGCCATAGCTTCATTAATGTGGGTTTTCAAATTTTTTAGTGTCTCTTTATTTTCTATTGCTATAAGATACTCTGGGCTCATATTGTTAGTTTCTGTCCCAGTCATAGAGGCAACCATTTATCTAAAGAAGACCTAATTCCTATCATTGGAGATTGATGCTAAAAAAAAAAAAAAAAAGGTCTGTGCACTTGGTATGTTCATTGTTACTGGGGTGTCACTTCTTTTAGGCCCTCTCTTGGACAGTAAAAGAAATACCTTTGTATACCGCATTAGGTAGAAGGCGACGCTATTTTTAAATATATCTATGTCCTCTTCTGTGGCTGGATTTTTCACTAACATAAGGGCCTCAAGTTGCATCCACATTGCTGCAACAGCAGGATTTTCTTCATTATTAAAGCTGAATAATATTCCATTGTTTATGTAGTAGATGTTTTCTCCATTCATCTGTTGAGGAATACTTGAGTCGTTTTTGTCTTGGCTATTTTGAATAATGCCGTAATGAAAATTGGAATGCAGATATGATTCTAATATCAACTGTTT